TTGAAAAGTATAATAATAAAATGAAAAATTCACTAGAGGAGAACAACAGCAGATTTCAACTGGCAGAAGAAAGAAATGGTAAACATTGATATAGATCAATTTTAATTATTCATTCTGAAGAACATAAAGATAAAAGCATGAAAAAAAAATCTCAGAGTCCTATGGAAGACCGTAAAGCATACAAACACTCACACTATGGGAGTCCCAGAAGTAAAAGAAAGAGAGAACGGGACAGAAATAATATTTGAAGATATAATGGCCAAAACTCCCTCAAATTTGATGGAACATCACTGATCTCCATAGTCAAGAAACTTAGCAATCTCCAATTAGGGTAAACTCAAAGATCCACACTTAGACATTTTATATTCAAACAGTTAAAAAACAAAGACAAAGAAGGAATTGTTAAAGCAGCAATAGAAAAGCAACTCATCATGAACAGGTATCCTCAATCACATTAAAAGCTGGCATCTTATCAGGAACTATAGAGGTAAGAAAGCAGTAGAATGACGTATTCAAAATGCTAAAAGAAAGACTGTCAGTCAAAATTTCTATATCCATCAAGACTATCCTTCAAAAATGAGACAATTTGTCACTATCAGACATGCCATACAAGAAATACTAAAGGGAGTGTTTCAGGCTGAAAGGACACTAAACAATAACTCAAATCTACTTAAATAGATAACAAATATTAGTAAAAGTAATACAAAGGTAAATATAAAAGACAATAAAATGCATTTTGTTTGTTCCATTTTTTCTCCTACCTGATTTAAATTCTACTGCCCAAAGTAATAATTGTGTAAATGGAGTCATAATGTAAAAAGATTTAATTTGTGTAACAGTAATAACAAAGTAAGGGAGAAGGAACAGAGCTATACAGGAGCATAATTTTTATACACAATTGAAATTAAGTTGGTATTGATCAGAACTAGATTGTTTTAGGAGCCCTGGTGGTATGGTGGTTAAGAGCTATGGCTGCTAATCAAAAGGTCAGCAGTTCAAATTCACCAGCCGCTCCTTGGAAACCCTATGGGGCAGTTTCTACTCTGTCCTACAGGGTCGCTATGAGTCAGAATTGACTCGATGACAACAAGTAGATTGTTTTAAGTATATTTATTAAAAAAATCAGAAAAGGAGGAATAGTGGAACAAAAAGCCATAAGATACAAAACATATAGCAAATGACAGGTATAAATCCTACTTTATAGGTAAATACATCAAATGTAAATAGACTAAACACTTCAGTCAAAGGGCAGAAATTGGCAGAATAGATTAAAAAATGATCCAACCGTATGCTCTCTACAAGAGATACATTTTAGATTCAAAGACACAAATAAGTTGACTGTAAAAGGATGAGAAAGATATACCATGCAAACAGTACCCAAAATAGAGTTGGAGTGACTATACTAATATTACACAAAATAGAAACAAAAATTGTTACTAGAGACAAAGAAGACATTGTTTATAATAAAAGAGTGAAATCATCAGGAAGACAAAACAATCATAAACGTATATGCACTTAACAACAGAGTCCTAAAATACATGAAGCAAAAACTGACAGAATTGAAAAGAGAAATACATAATTCAACAGTAATAGTTGGAGAAGTCAGTACTCCAGTTTCAGTAATGGATGGGACAACCAAGCAGAAGATCAACAAGGAAATAGGATCAACAAGAAACACCATAAATCAACTACACCTGACAGACATCTATAGAAAATTATATCCAACAACAGCAGCATACACGTTCTTCTCAAGTGTACATGGAACATCCTCCAGGATAGACCACATGTGTGGCCATAAAACAAGCCTCAATTAATTTAACAGGATTGAAATCATACATAAAGTTTCCTGTCCAACTGCAATGGCCTGATACTAAAAAACAATAACATAAGAAAATTTGGGAAATTCACAAATATGTGGAAAACAAATTCACAAATATCTGGAAAGTAAATGAAGAAATAAGTGAAATTGGAAAATATTATGAGATGAATTGAAGCAAAACACAATCTGATGAAGGCCATCTACAAAAAACCCACAGCTAGCATCTTATTTAAGGTGAATGTTTTTTACCTAAGAAAAATAACAACATCATAATGTCTGTTCTTATTACTTCTATTCAACATTGTTCTGGTAGTTCTAGCCAGAGTGATTAGGCAAGAAAAGAAATTAGGGGCACTCATATTGGAAAGGAAGAAGTGAAACTATCTCTGTTCGCAAATGACATGATCTTGTATATAGAAAACCTAAGGAATCCATATGCAAAAGAAAACTATTAGAACTAATAAACAAGTTCAGCAGGGTTGCAGGATATAATATCAATATATAAAAATAAGTTGTATTTCTATACACTAGCAATGAACAATCCAAAAATAAAATTAAGAAAACAATGTCATTTATATCAGCATTAAAAAAAATAGCATAAATAAAGTCATCATCAAATGTCCTAACATGTATAATGTTGTTGTTAGGTGCCCTTGATTTCAGCTCTACCTCATAGCAACCCTATGTATAACAGAATGAGACACTGCCTGGTCCTGTGCCATCCTCACAATTGTTGCTTTGTTTGAGCCCATTGTTGCAGCCACTGTGTCAATCCTTCTCATTGAGGGTCTTCCTCTTTTTCGCTGACCATCTACTTTACCAAGCATGATGTCCTTCTCCAGGGACTGGGCCCTCCTGATAACATGTCCAAAGTATGTGAAATAAAGTGTTGCCATCCTCCTTTCTAAGGAGCATTCTGGCTGTACTTCCTCTGAGATAGATTTGTTCATTCTTCTGGCGTATATTCAACATTCTTTGCCAGCACCATAATTCAAAGGCATCAATTCTTCTTCAGTGTTTCTTATTCATTGCCCAGCTTTCACATGCATATGTGGTGAATTGAAAACACCATGGCTTGGGTCAGGTGCACCTTAGTCCTCAAAGTGACATCTTTGCTTTTTAACACTTTAAAGTCTTTTGCTGCAGATTTGCCCAGTGCAGTACGTGGTCCTGTTTTGAGTGCCTTACAACCTTAGAGGCTTATCCTCCAGCACTATATCAATCAGATGGTTTTCTGCTGCTATTCATAAGGTTTTCACTCACCAGTTTTTTTTTTTTTTATTTTTTAGAAGTAAATTGCTAGGCCATTCTACCTAGTCTGTCTTAGTCTGGAGGCTCCACTGAAAGCTGTCCTTCATGGGTGACCCTACTGGTATTTGAAATAGCAGTTGCATACCTGTTACTGTTGCCATCGAGTTGATTCCAACTGATAGCAACCCTATAGGACAGAGTAGAACTGCCCCTATAATGTTTCCAAGGAGGAGCTGGTAGATTGGAACCATGGACCTTTTGGTTAGCAGCCAAGCTTTTAACCCTTGTGCCACCAGGGCTCCACCGGTCGGTTGCATAGTCACAAATAATCACACATGGTACAATAGTCACAAATATTTTGTTAAATTGTCTCCCTCAGTATTTTTGTAACCTGCTCATCCTTTCTCCTTTTTTCTGTAAGTATGTCAAACCCTTCATAACAATATGAATGGTCAGAACCTTTTAAAAATATTCATAGTTTAAGATTTGCTACCTTCAGCTATGAAGTGTTCTTTAACCTAATTAATTCTGTTGTCTTTATTTATCCCCATGGAGAGGAGGGGAAAAAAGAAAATCTAGTATAGACCAAGTCCTTCACAAAACCATCAAATCCTGAATGGAATGTTGCTACTCAGTCTAAGACTGAAATCTTTTTTTTTTTTTTCACTCAGTTCACTAAGACAAATTACTTCAGTTGCTACTATGTCTTGCTTTCATTAAGATATTTACCTAATTCCTTTTTGTTCAAGTTCTTAAGCTCAAATATTGTTTTGCTCTTTTTTTTGTTGTTGAAATGATTTTTTTCAGATCAAAGAATGCTCTGTTTACTGGTATGGCTGCTGATAATGGGTATTTCTCTATGTGGCTTATTCTTTAAGTGTAACCACAGTCCATAACTAAGACTGTTTGTCTAGTGGTGGGACTCTACTTCTTCTAGTGGTGGGAAGAGTTACTCTGTTAAAGTACAATTTCAATACCTAACAAAGACCTGATATGTTACAGAAGTAAGAATATAAATCAGGCTCGCTTTCTAGAATCCATCTTCTCTCCTTCTGGTCTGGGTAACATCCAATTCAACTTTGCCACTGCCCTGGAAGTGCAGAACCTCTCTGGCCCTTTTACCTCTTTGTACTGGAACAGCATTTACAATTTTAGAAATTAAATGGTTAATTTTAGCTCCTCTCTGCTGAAGATCATCTACAGACTCAAAATCTCATGGCAAGGTAACAAGTCCAGATGCCTTCTTCCTATGATGTTCCCGTTATGCTTCTGATAGAAGTGACCTTGCCAGGCAAGGTTTTTGCATGGATTTTGCTTTGTTTATATTGGTGTCAGGGGAGGTGCAAGCAAGTACAGTACATTAAAGCTAATATATCACCACCTGTCAATGGCATCTTCCCTTTGGTACTCCTTTTCCTTTCTGCTTAAAAACACTCAGTCCCCAGAGCCTATGGTTGAGTAGCAGGAAGCTAAATTATATATGCCCTGGTGGCACAGTGGTTAAATGCGTGGCTGCTAAGTGAAAGGTCAGCAGTTCGAACTCACCAGCTGCTCCATGGGAGAAAGATATGGCAGTTGGCTTCCATAAAGATTTACAGCCTTGGAAACCCTATGGGGCAGTTCTACCCTGCCCTGTAGGGTCTCTATGAATTGTAATCAACTCGACAGCAGCGGGTAAATGATATATTCCATACCTCTTAACATATTGCCTTGTGTAAATGGCCCATTTGAGTATTTTAGAAACCAAACAGGAGAAAAAAGAACATTGAAAGCATTGAAAAGATTAACACCTGTTTCCAGTCTTTAAAGAAATAGGAGCATACTGCACATCCAGAGTAAAACCGTTTTCTGTCCCGTGTTGAGACATTTTATTCACATTTTCAATTCAATATGTTAGTATCCACATGCTTACAGGTTTGTTTTGCTACAGGATTCCTCACAGAACTTAGAAGACAGAGAAGTAATGAATGGTGTACAGACAGAACTCCTGGCATCACCGAAAACCAAGGTTGCGTTGAGGTATTCTCTTTATGTGAATAAGAATATTTATTGCTTTTTTATGTTTATTTAATAGTTTATAATTATCCTTATTTTACAGGAAAGATCAAGTTAAGTAGAATAGTGATGCAAAACCAGTCCCTATTCTAAAATCAGTTACTTACTCGTTCTTCCCATTTTCCTCAAAAGATATGGGTACTTACTGATAAACATATATACAAACGAAGCGCACTTTTTCCATTACTTTTCTGCAACTTGGATTTCTTAATTGCTTTTTCTTTTCTTTCTTTCTTTTTTTGAACCACAGTTTAAAGTGTACATTTGAGATTTCCTTGCAGTTGAGTGTTTTACTTTGGCTTTAGCCCTTGAGTATTGCATTGTATTGTATTCTACAATCTTGCAGAATTTTGCTCCATGTATATAAAATGAATCTAGTCTATCGACCACACTTTTTCATGTTTATAATGAAAATAACTCATTATACAAAGTCAGTTGCGCTCATGTTTACAAGTACTTCTTTTGCTTGGCGCTAGTTTCCATTTCAGTCCTGGGTACTTAAAAACCAAAAGCAAACCTGTTGCCATCCAGTCGATTCTGACTCATAGTGACCGTGTAGGACAGACTAGAACTGCTCTGTAGGGTTTCCAAGGCTGTAAACTTTACGAAAGCAGATTGCCACATCTTTCTCCTGCGGAGCAGCTGGTGGGTTCGAACCGTCAACATTTTAATTAGCAGCCAAGTGTTAACCACTACAGTGGGTTCAAATCCCAACTGTGATGCTTACCAGTTCCATGCAGTTAGGCAAGTTACTCAGCCCTGTTTGTCTTAGTTTCTGATCGGTAAACTGCAGATATTACTAAAACCTTCTTTAGACTATGAGCATGAGAATGAAAGGAGTTGATATATGTAGAACATTTTAAACAGTGCCTGGAGCTGAGCTCTTAACCAAAACGTTGGCAGTTTGAATCCACCAGCCAGCCGCTCCTTGGAAACCCTTTGGGGCAGTTCTCCTCTGTACTATAGGATCACTATGAGTTGGACTCCATTCAATGGCAGTGGTGGTGGGAACAGAATGAGCCCTATGATGATTTGCTGCTGTTGCTACTATTATTATTATTGTCATCATCATCATCTTTATTATTACTATGAATTTTATCATTGTTATTTTATTTAATGGTACTTAAAACTTCCCATAAGGAATGTAATTCCATGTTTAATAGATTGTTGGCTTCAGCATTAGAAGATGATGCTTCTGAGGTTGATTTAATTCATTCGGTCATTTAGTCAACGTATTCCTTTCATTCAATCCAGTTACTAATAGGCGCCAAAAAATTTGCATGGGATTAACTTTAAATAATACACTCAGGCCACAGCCCTGATTCAATGTAAGGGGGTTTCCCTGTGGTGTGACCTATATGTAGGTTATCAGATTTTTAGCACTAATGTGTGGATTCTCTTGAAGCTTATAACTTATAGCCATAGGATCATATAACTATTTCATTTATTATGCCTCTTTGATTAACAGTCTGCACAACATTAAAAATTTGGTGCAGAAAATCTCTAGGACACTGTCTTTTTAGAAGTTTGATAAGTTATTTTTTGGAGGTAGGAATAAAATGAATGCAATACTTTCATTCTTCCTTTTTTTTTTTTTTTAATTTTAGCTTTTTGGAAAGTTTGCTAACATCTTGGCTAAATGCTATCTGAATAGCTATCAGAGAGTGATCAATTGTTTGGTTTATGGCTGTGTGAGCAAATCATCTAAGCTTTCTCCAGGTACAGGGAATTGAGAGAAATGAAATATGCAACATTAAAAATATTATTTAATTAAAATATGTGTATTGTGTAATTTGATTATCAAAATAGCCTTTTTGCATGAGTTTTATTATCACCTTTGGTAAACTAAGTGTCATGGATTGAATTGTGTCCCCCAAAAATATGTGCCAACTTGGCTAGGCCGTGATTCCCAGAGTTGTGTGGTTGTCGCCCATTTTGTGATCTGAAGTAATTGTCCTATGTGTCATAAATCCTAATCTCTGCCTGTGGTTAATGAGGTAAGATCTGGTTATATTAAAGAGGATTAGGGTGGGATGTAACTTGCTAATTACTGATCCAATATAAGGGGAGTTTCTCTGGGGTGTGGCCTGCATTGCGTTTTATCTTACAAGAGATAAAAGGAGAGAGAAGGGAGAAGAGAGAAGGGAACTTCCTACCATCAGGAAAGAAGAGCCCGGAACAGAGTGTGTCCTTTGGACCTGGGTTCCCTGTGCTGAGGACCTCCTAGAGCCAGAGGAAGATTAATGCCAAGTACATGGAGATCTCCAAGGAACACTGGGCCCACAGATGTTGGAAGGAGACAAGGACCTTCCTTCAGAGCCAGCAGAGACAGAAAGGCTTCCCTTAGAGCTGGCACTCTGAATTTCGACTTCTAGCCTCCTAAACTGTAAGAGAATAAATGTCTGTTAAAGCTACCCACTTGTGATATTTTTGTCATAGCAGCACTAGATAACTAAGACACTAAGGTACTGTAATTCAGAGCAATTAAGTAACTGCTAGAGACCCTACTGGAGCCTAGTGGTGCAATGGTCAAAGCACTGTACTGCTAACTGAAAAGTTGGTATTTCAAACCCAACAGTCACTTCGTGGGAGAAAAGACCTGGCGATCTGCTCCTGTAAAGATTACAGCCTAGGAAACCCAATGTGGCAGTTCTACTCTGTCCTTTAGAGTCACTATGAGTCAGAATCAACTCCATGCACACAACAGGGATCTCACATACCCCTACCATTCCTGACACCAAATTTATTGACTCAGATATTACCTATAATCTTCACCTTCCCTCATTCATTGATGTTTTATTTTATACTACATAAGAAGGGATAGGAGACTTCACATATTGAGCACCAGTATAGGAGAAGCACGGCTGAAATCTGATTTGGAGCTGAATTCGGAAAGTGCAGTGGATGGTAACCGTTGGCCAAACCCAACTCCCAGCACTCACAGACTCGGGTAGGGGAAGGATGAGAACAATCTTAACAGTATGGAATGTACAGCTAACAAGGGAAAGCTTTTGAAGGAGAGGACATTGGTTCTAGCTGGTATGGGACAAACCAATAGTAGAGAAATTAGGGAACCATGAGTTACAGCCATGTTATATGGTCAGTATTCTCCTGGGGCAGAAGCAGTGGATCCGATATTCTACAGAGCTTGGTATAAGCTTAGGTCTTTAAGCATACTTCCACCTGGGTGGCATAGAAGTTAAGTAAATGATTTGCAGAGTCCATTTCAAAATGTCTTGAGCCTGTTCTCAGGTTTCATTCCTGTAGTCATTGTTCAAGCCTGTGGTACATCTTAGCTAGACTATTGCAATAAACTGTTAACACCTCCTGAGTATCATTCTCACTGCTGAATACATTTTTCTAAACCATAGCATTTATCACATCATCCCTTAGTTCTGAAACCTTTGTATTCAGACAACTCTTGGGTTTGAACACTAGCTCTACCACTTACTACTTATAAAAGGGCTAATTACTTTACCTCTTTAAAACGTTTTCCTCATAGGGAAAATGGGTACCATGATCACATAGATTATTGGGAAGATTAAATGAGATATAGGCAACTGCACTTAGCACAATGCTAAGTGAAAGGCTGGATAAACAATGTCTATTGCAATTATGATTATACAGATAATACAGTTTACAGTTACTATTTCTCATTCTCTCAAACTAGACTCTGAATCTTCCAAGGGATTCCTGACACTTAGTGTACATCTTGAGATAAAATAGATACGATGTTTGTTGAGTGAATGAGTGGATAAAACAATTCTCCACAAATCATAAACATAACTGCACCAACTCCCCACTTGTTGACATGTTACTTGCCAAAGACCAGGTCATTATGTGAAAATCTGTGTTATATAAGAGTCGGCACAGGTGTTTCCCCCATCGCTCACTACCTGTCAGGCACCCCCAGCGCATCTTGGGATGTGCGTGGTGCAGTGGGCCCCCTTTTCCCACCATGCCTTCCTCACCACCAGGGAGCCTGCAGGGTCGGGGTGGTGGATGGTGGTCTGGGGCTGCCCACTGCCCCTGGAGCATCAGGGGCCTCGCATTATCTGGCCACACTCAAGGCCTCCGCGCGGACCCCTGCGCCTCGTCCCTCTACTTTCCCACTCCTTTGGCTCCAGAGATGGCCTAGGCAGTGGCAGGTGGCTCCTGGGACTGCAGGCAGATGAGCGCTGGCCACCTGGGCCCAGCAGTGGCTGCAGAGGTAGCAGGGATGCCTCTTTGGAAGAAGAGACCTCTGAGGCCCCTGTCCGACTCCTGCGGCTCCTGTTGGACCTCTTTGCGCTGCTAGCCATGAACCTAGCCCAGCTTTTCTGCCCGACCTGGGTAAAATGAACTGCTGGTGGCCTGCGCTGCCTCGCACTCTCTCACAACCCTTACCATCCTCTATTTCCTCTCTCGCCTGGATTCCTTATTAACACACAAAACAGTCGATTTTTTTCTGTCGTTGTAAATGGGAAATGTTTGATAATGAGATAGTCATTAAGTGCGGAGTTGGTGTATTAACTTCTGACGCATGATTAACAAAAACATTTTTAATTAAAAAAAAAAAAATTTAGCAAGCTGTCTCCATATAGTCTCACAATGTTCATCTCTTATGAAGCACCATTTAGTGCACTTTGATTGTTAAGAATACAGTGAATCTTTTAAGAACTGCCCATGTGGGATCAAATTGACAACAGCAACTCGAAAGCTTAGAGAGGAAACTTAGGGGCAGTGAGTTTATGTAATGGAGCAGGAACAATTCAGAAAAGGAGAGTGAGAATAGTTGCACAACTGGAAGAATGTAATCAGTGTCACTGAATTGTGCGTGTAGAAATTGTTGGTGTGTGTTCTGCTGTGTATATTCTCAATAAAAACAAAAAATAAAATATTTTAAAAATACAATGAAACAAGAGATTTTGATTGGGTGTTTTTTGTTTGTTTTGTTTTATTTTTAGTTACACTTTGAGCTTTTC